CGAAATTATCGCAGAAGGATTCATGAAAGTTTGGAATGTGTTGACAACCTTCGATATCTAGTAGTTTATGAGAAAATTAGGAATATAACCCTTATAGAAATATCATACTAAGAGTCATTGACAATTACTTATTATCCAGTATTTTTAATACTGAAAATAAGTAATTATCAATGATTCTTAGTATGATATTTCTATAAGGGAAGTATATTTTTGTAAACATTATGATTTTCTCATTTTTCACCTTCGCATAATAATTCTAAGTATTTGATTATCAATATTTAACAGTGATTTTATTATCAGTATTCACCAGAAATTAAGTACTGGCCAAAAAATTACTGAATTACTGATAATATTTAATCATTAATAATTTTTCAATATTTCTTAGTATGATATTTCTATAAGGGCAAATTGCCGCCAAATATGCTGCAGAACTTGTTATCGGATAATTGCTTCAGATTTGCAGCAAAAACCGCGCAGAGCTTGTAGCGATTTGATGGCAGATTGGCGGCAGAAACCACGCAGACCTTGCTGTGCTGCAAATTTTGCGCGGTTTTTACTGCAAATTTGGCACCAATTGCCCGACAGCAAGATCTGTCGCCAAAACCATAGCCTAATGTAGACACAGATGGCTATGGTTTTGCTGTGGGTTTTTTATCAAATTTGCTGCCAATCTGCGCGCAGTCTGCGTTCAATTTGCTTACTGGGTTATTATGTATCAAATTTGTCCATTCATGTTCATACATTCTATTTATATATGTAATTATACATAATTACGTATAATTATATATATAAATTCATATATAATTTTACATAATTACGCATAGATTTATATGTAATTATACATATAATTGTATATAATTATATATAATTTTATATGATTATATATAATTATACATAATTATGTATGGACAAATTTAATACATAATTTTGCATGAAAAATTTTTTATCGGGCGATTTCGGCGCTTCCGTTTGCGGACAAATTATCAATTGTTCGTAAACAGCTTGCTATCACGGCCTAACAACAGAAACATGGCAGAAATCAAGCATAATTTGCCCTTATGACGTGACAGCAAAAACACAGCAAAAATCTAGCAGGACGTGCCGTCACGAATTTCTAAAAATATTCATTTTGAATTACTTATGGAACAATAGATGTATACATTATAAATTTTTTTATATATATAATATGTATTACTTTTTTTTAACAGAAACTATTCATAAATGTCACAGTGTTTACTGGTTTTACTTGAAAATTTTAGATTACTTGATCCAATTTTACATCACATTTAAAAATTCTCACTGGCACTGGTGGGACTCGAACTTGAACCCATGAAGCACCTCTGGATTACGAGTCTGTTGCTTTAGGCACTACACCACTTCGTCGATTGATATAAACGTCTTGCATTTTGTCTATATGTGTTCTAATTAACACAGTAATATAATTTTCTGATAATATGATTTAATAAAATGATTTAGTTTCAATAAAAATTATATTTTTTGTACTTTTATTGTTAATTTAACCCTTAGCTAATGAGATGAGATCTAAAAAATCTCGTACATTCCATTTCGTTACCTTTAAGTTTTTATAGTAAATACTTTTTTATTGTTAACTGTTATTAAATAGAAAAAATCATAAAAGATTATAAACTTTGAATAATTATAAAATAGTACAATTAAAAAAAGAAAAATCTACCTTATTATATAAGATTTAATTAAATTAATTAAATTTAGGTATAAATCTATAAAAATTAATGCTTATTATAAGCAATGGGGTATCTGTCTAATATAACCATAAAATCTAAATAACATTAGATATTAGGTGAAGTAAAAAGTTCTGAGCGTTTTTTCGCTTTATTTCGACGATGAAATTAACATAGTTAGGATTATCCGATTTCGATCAAATATGCGTCGTTTTGTTCGATAACTTTTGTCCATTTTGAAGGCAATTTCATAATTCCGCGATTGAAGAAGTCCTCGTCCCTATTGGTAAAAAACTTGACCAGCTCATTTCACAAGCCTCTCTTGAGGCCAGTTTTGTACCATCAAGAAAATTTTGCAAATGCTTGAAAAGGTGATAATCGCTTGGTGCCAAGTCTGGACTATACGGCGGGTGCAATAGAACCTCCCATCCAAGCTCTCGGAGCTTCTGGCGCGTCGTTAATGATGTGTGCGGCCTGGCGTTGTCTTGATGGAACACAACACTCTTCCTATTGGCCAATTCTGGCCGCTTCTGGTCGATCGCCTGCTTCAATCTGGTCAGTTGTTGACAGTAGAGGTCCGAATTGAGTGTTTGGCCCGATGGGAGCAGCTCATAGTGGATGATTCCTTTCCAATCCCACCAAACACACAGCAAAACCTTCTTGGCCGTTAATCCGGGCTTGGCGATCGTTTGGGCCGGCTCACCGCGATTGGACCACGATCTTTTTCGGCTGTTGTTCTCGTATGTGACCCATTTTTCATCACCAGTCACCATCCGCTTCAAAAATGGGTCGATTTCGTTACGTTTCAGCAAAGAATCGCAGGCATCAATTCGGTCCAAAAGGTTCTTTTGCGTCAATTCGTGTGGCACCCATACATCGAGCTTCTTCTTGAGACCAGCCTTATGCAAATGGTTCCAAACGGTTTTCTGGCTAATCTTCAGTTCCTGGGCAATGGAATAAGTGCTCACATGCCGGTCCGACTCGACGATTTCCATGATTTTATCGACATTTTCGACGATTGGCCTACCAGAGCGTGCCTCATCTTCGACGTCCATATTACCAGAACGGAATCGTTGGAACCACCGCTTTGCTGTTGCATTCGATACTGTATTGGGTCCATAAACACCACAAATTTTTTTGGCAGCCTGCTCCGCCTTTTCACCTTGGTCGTAGTGGTACTGAAGAATGTATCGAATTTTCTCTTTTTTTACCTCCATTTTGGAACGCTGTAACACACAACTGGCTTGACCAAACACAAAACAGAACTTTTTTTGAAGCGTAATGTCACCTTTAAATCGCCGTATAGTATGACCCGATGCGATGTATACATCGTGAGATATGGCTCACTAAAGACATCTAGCGGAAAACGCTCAGAACTTTTTACTTCACCTAATAATAACAGTAATTTCTCACGAATTCTCAGAGTATCCCAAGTAATGATTCGTGAAATATTCATTATAATGAAGTTCCAAGGAATACTTTAGAATGAATTAGACTCGAATAATTCTTCAGGAATTCTTCAAATATTCATTTTTCTCATTCTTTAGGTATTCTTTAAAATGAATTCTCTATGAACTTTTATTCATATCTGTGCTATCTGGGAAATTAACTACCAAACACGAGGTAACAGTAACAAAATAGTTATAATTTCTTACTCGACAATGTAAAACAGTTACATTGTTGAGCGAAAAATTATAACTGACAGTTATGTAACTTGGTGTTTGCTGGTGCAATTGCTTTGAGCAATTTATATATGTATAAGTGTCATACGAATTTTATATACTGTACAATTTTATTCTTATCTAATCTATTTAATATTATATTATAATCTAGCATAATCTTAATATATAATGTAGTTAAATTTACGTACCTACGACGACACATGTACATATAATTTTATTAAAGTTTACTTTGATGTTTTTCTTCTTTCCTTTTCTCTCTCTCTCTCTCTCTCTCTCTCTCTCTCTCTCTCTCTATACTAAAGAAAAAATATATTTCAAAAAAATTCTCTTCAGATATTAATGCTCTTTTTAGATGAAGATCCGCGTGATCTTCCGTTTTACATCATCATGAGAAAATATATAATTAAAACTAGGAAAATCTGGTTAAAAAGAAAAATCAAATAAAATATTAAAATAAAAATGAAAATCTCTTTACAGCACAAAGGAAAAAGAGAGAAATTAATTCTCCCGCGTTTTAATTACATAAAAAAATATAAAAAATGTGAAATCGTGCTTGTGCGCCCACACCGGTGCTGTGAAAAGATTTTGTTGGAGCTTCAATTTTGCCGCTCCATCGCGTTCTCGCTCACTGGTCATCAGAACTCGCCAGGTGCGCGACCATGCTACAGTACTTGCAGGATGACGCCATTCGACTCTCGTGGCATAGCGCAAGGCGCTCGCCGCACATATCTCGCGTCATCTTCCTTCCTTTTTTTTCTTTTCGAGATCGTCTATCTATCTTTATTCTATTCAATGTTCATCCATTTTTTACTATCGTATCTCGCTACTGCTGTATACGTGTTGTCCTCCTGCGATGGAATTATTAAAAGCATCGAATTGAGAGCACGTTGTCTTACTTATTCTGTCCAATAGGTTATAAGCCCAGGCATCGCGAATCCACCGCGGATGTGTACTCTAATACGAAGCTCTCAAATGAGCTCGGAAAGTCGTGAAACTTAGTGACGATCATAGTGCTCATAGGAAATCGTGCAAGTCAGTTTCGCATACATCCAAGAGCAAGAATGTCGTACAACACGATAAATTCTACTCGCCTCGAATTGTTGTCCAAAAACAACTACGATACATAGAGGATTCAAGCGGAAGCCCTATTAATAAAAACGACACCTTCAGATCGCGATCGAATCGTGAGACGATCTACCGAACCCTGAGACGCTGAAGATCAAAATAATTTAAGAAAACGAAGCCAGAAAGCGGAAGACGTCCGACAATGGCTCTGATACCTTATTTGTAAAACATCAGAGTCAATTTTCCAGGAACAAACCGGTCAAGGACTAAAAAAATGCGTCATCGTTTGGACGAATAAGGTGCAATTACTATAGCAAGCTTGGGCATAAGGCCTCTGATTACTACGCTAAAAGAAATTCTCAACAGAATATCAAGCAAAAGGCAGGCAGCGCCACAGAGACGGCGTTCTTAGCAAATAAGAAGGATAAAACTGGAGGCTGGTGCCTGGACAGTGGCTGCACCTCACACTTGTACAGCGATAAGGTTCTCTTTGTCGATATCAGGGATATATCTAGTGGATTGAGGCTCGCCAACAATATTACCATCAAAGTCGAAGCGATGGGAGATGTCAAAGTCAAAGCTCTAGTAAACAAGGAGGAAAGGAGAATAAGGATCAAGGATACTCTATACGTTCCTGACCTGAAAACCAATCTATTATCTGTAGCCAAGATCGTCGACAACCAGCATCAAGTTCTGTTTACTAAGGATCAAGCCATCGTTCGAGACCCTCAAGGTAATATAAAAATAATTGCCAAACGCGTAAATGATCTTTTCCATCTTCAGGAAGATCCACCATAAGCATATATCGCAAGCAAGTACGAACAATCACGTACTAGGACATGGCACGAGCGATTAGGGCACATGAACACGAAGGACATCGCTCTAATGTGGAAAACGCAGGCAGTTAATGGTTTAAAACTTGACACTGATGCAACTTCGATCAACTGTGAACATGAAGCAGAAAAGTTTTTCAGCACTCCATTACCAGCCTGAGGCGTAAAAAGCTCTGGTGCGCTGGATATAACACACACGGACGTCTGCGGCCCTATGCGGACGGAATCCCTAGATGGCGCACGATACTTTGTCACGTTCATAGACGACTTACACACGTTGGTGCGAAGTCTACTTCATATGCAATAAAAGCAAAATGACCGAAAAATTCGTGGAATTCATGAGATATGCCGAGAGACGAACCAGACGGAAAGTCAAGATTGTCCAGTCGGACAACGGTAAAGAATACTGCAATTCCACGCTGGATAATCTCTTCAAGGAGCATGGGATCCGTCGTCGCCTGACTACACCGCATACACCCGAACAAAACAGAGTAGCCGAGCGCAAGAATCGCACCCTGGTCGAAGCGGCGCGGTGCATGATGATTCAGTCCGGACTACCGGCGTCATTTTGGGCCGAAGCTGTTTCTTACATCAGGAATCGCTGCGTTACTAAAAGTCTGGACTCCTTTCGAGAAATGGACCGGACGACGCCCGAGTATTGCTTATCTTCGGACATTCGGTTGCAAAGCGTACGTTCTGGACAAAACTCCTGGCAAGGGAAAGTTCGACGCCCGTGGCCTGGAGAGGACTTTCGTCGGATACTCTGAAGTATCGAAAGCGTACAGAGTATGGAGTCCAAGGAGTCGAAAAGTCCATATCTTCAGGGATGTCAAGTTCTTTAATGAATCGAATGTAAAGATATCGCCTCGGGAAGACCCTATAATCCAGGATGCCGAAGACGAATGTTTCAGAGAGACAGACAGTCTCAAACCAATGAAGGAAACAATCGAAACACATATCGGATCGAACAATTCAAGTCCGAATGAAGTGCAAGACTATCCCACCATTGAGGAAATCAACGGGGACAACAAGTCGGATGATGCAGATACTCCTAGACGGAGACCTGGACGGCCTAGAGGAGCTGCAACCCGCAAACCTGTTCCGACCAAACAGTACTATCTGAGAAACAGCGATCGAAGAAGGGCCCCCGCACCTGCGACGATCGAGTTATCTTCGGAAGATGAACAGCGCGAAGCTGGGTATGCCTTTTTTGCGAGCGAAATTTCCCTTTCACAGGCAGTTACAGGTCAGGATGCCATCGAGTGGAAAAGCTCTATCTACGACGAGATGAAAAGTCTTGTGGCCAACGATACATGGGACCTCGTCGAAAAACAGGAAAACGACAACATCGGATGCCGAATCGTGCTGAGGAACAAATATAAGGCCGACGGAACGTTGGAGAAGCGCAAAGCTCGAGTTGTAGCTAGGAGTCGACTTCAAGGACACCTTCGCGCCCGTAGTGCGACTCGGTTCACTAAGAATCCTGGTCGCCTTATCAGCCCGACTAGGGATGTCGATATCGCAATTGGACATTACGTCAGCATATTTGCACAGAAACATAAACATAAAGGTGTACATGGAGACACTGGAACTCTTGGAAGAGATGCTCGCAAATTTGCAAGACAGGATGGTTGAAACCATACATAGAAAGGCCGGAACCATGTTGGAGCATTTTCGTCAAGGACGTAGGACATGCCTTCTAAAGAAGGCGCTGTATGGCCTTCGTCAGACCGGATTGGCATTTCAGGCACGTCAATGGCATTTCAAACTTCACGAAGCGCTCAAAGAAGCTGACCTCACACCCACGAATGCTGATCCCTGCATCTACACGAACGAAAAGAGAACGATCTTCCTGCTTGTCTAGATGATATCCTGATCGCCTACAAAAGTCACACTGATAGAAAGAAAGTCGTAAGTACGCTGAAGGAATGGTTTATTGTAAAAGATCTCGGACAACCAAAATACTATCTGGGAATACAGATCGTTAGATCCAGGGAGAGCACCTCACTTTTCCAGTCCCGGTACATAGAAACCTGCTCGACAAGTACGGGATGGCGGACTGCAAAGAAGCGAATACGCCGTTGCCCTCGGGCTTCAGGACAACTGCGGATGACCCTGAAAGCATCGACGACTCCGTGCCATACAGAGAACTCATTGGTAGCTTAATGTATTTGGACCTGGCTACCAGACCCGATATATCTCACGCCGTCAGCAATCGACAGCACGAACAGAAAGCATTGGACAACAGCAAAACGTACTCAGGTATCTTAAAAATATCATTGACTTGTCTCTATGCTTCAGACCTACAGGGGTAAGTCTATTCGGCTTCGTGGACACAGGCTGGGGCAGCTGCGCAATCGATCGGCGATCCTATACAGGAATGGCATTTATTCTCGCCGGAGCGGCTGTTTCCTGGGAATCCCGGAATCAGAGAACGATCACTCTTTCTTCGACGGAGGCGGAATATATGGGCTTGACTGACGCCGTCAAAGAAGTCATCTACCTCATCGGTTTTCTGAAAAAAATTGGGATTCGAGTCGCTAACCGACGTCACTATCTTCAATAATAATCAAGCAGCAGGAGAGCACGTTCCTGTTTGCCACGGAAGGTCTAAACATATAGACATACGATACCACTTCGTCAGAAAAGCACTCCAGGAACAAACCATAAGGCTTGAGTATCTACCTACGGAACAAATGCCAGCGGACGTTCTCACTAAGGGACTCGGAAGTGAAAAGCACAACTTCTGCATTCGCGGTCTAGGATTGATAAACCTCAACAGCGAAGAGTGTCAAAATTGAGGGAGAGTGTTGGAGCTTCAATTTTGCCGCTCCATCGCGTTCTCGCCCACTGGTCATCAGAACTCGCCAGATACGCGACCATACTACAGTACTTGCAGGTTGACGCGGGAGCGGTGCACTTGGACACGGTGCATCTGGACACAGCCAGTCACAGCACCGTGTGATTAGAGACATTTGTAGGGTCCCTTGGAACAGCGACTTGTGATTGGACTGTGTCCAATTGCCCCGTGTCCAACTGATATACACCCGGTTGACGCCACACGACTCTCGTGGCACAGCGCGAGGCGCTCGCCGTACATATCTCGCGCCATCTTCCTTCCTTTTTTTTCTTTTCGAGATCGTCTATCTATCTTTATTCTACTCAATGTTCATCCATTGTTTTTTTATTATCGTATCTCGCTACCGTTGTATACGTGTTGTCTTTCTGCAAGGGAATTATTAAAAGCACCAAATTGAGAGTACGTTGTCTCGTCTTACTTATTCTGCCCAATAGATTTTTATTTTTATTTTAATATTTTCTTTGATTTTTCTTTTTAATCAGATCTTTCTTTAACTGTATATTCTCTCATAATGATATATAACGGAAGATCACGCGGATCTTGATCTGAGGAAAACATTAATATCTGAAGATAATATCTTTTTTAAATATATTTTTTCTTTAATATATATATATATATATATATATATATATATATTGGGTGTACAACTTAATTCGGTCCGTTTTTTTGCTTGAAAAACGCATTTATTTGAATGATAAAATAAATTCATACATTATTGAAAGTATTGTCCATCGCTAGCCACTACTTTTTCCCATCTTTCTGGCAATTTATGGATTCCGTCGCGGAAGAAGCGTTCATCTTTTGAAGCCAAGAATGAATCGAGCCAATTTTTGATACCCTGTTCTGAAGTGAAGTGTATTCCAGTCAAAGCGTTCTGCATCGATCGAAACAAATGGTAGTCGGAAGGGGCAAGGTCTGGGCTATAAGGCGGGTGAGCCAGAACTTCCCATCCGCTATTTTCCAAATAGTTTTTAACCGGAACAGCAACATGAGGCCGAGCGTTGTCATGGTGAAAGATTATGGACTCGTGTCTGGTCGCATATTCTGGACGTTTTTCGGCTATAGCTCGCTTTAAACGGATCAATTGTCGCCTGTAGAAGTCTCCCGTGATGGTTTGACCAAGTTTTAGCAGCTCATAGTGGATCACACCCTTCTGATCCCATCAAATACAGAGCATTACCTTGGCATCATGGATATTCGGCTTCGGCGTTGATGTACCCGGTCGGCCGGGCTTTACATACGATTTTTTGCGTTTCGGGTTGTCGTAGTGAATCCATTTTTCGTCCCC